TTTGATTTGCATAAATACTCCCAGAAAACGATATCATCGCCACTTGTTTCCAATATTTACATCGTTTTCGTCCATTTTCATTTTGTCACGACCGCCATGCGCTGACGTCACACAAATAGACGCATTCGACAGACCTCTTTTTTTTTGTTGCTGGGTTTCAGGGATTCTACAGATATTCGCCGAATATGTATAGACGTTTCACTGACGCATGAGACGACCCTACTCCTTATTATGTGTTAACCATTCGGCCATTTTAGTAGCTTTTCATGTAAGCAATTTTAAAATGGGAGCTAAAGAATAAAATTTGCCTATTTTTTTTAGTACCGTAGCTTTTCATGTAAGCAATTTTAAAATGGGAGCTATAGGATAAAATTTGCCTAATTTTTTTTTGTGATTTAAACAATGTTTTTTGGGTTTTTTTAAAATCAACTTCATAGGATTTTTTTTTATATAGGCCTATATATAAAGTTTTTTTTCCTTTTAAAATGCTGTTTGGTAAATCCAACAAACTACAAATGGTTCTGTTGAGGCCCTTCAAAATTGAATGGACAATTTATTTATTATAATTGTTTTGGTTTTTTTCTTAAATAGTAGGCCTACTTAGCCTATGCAGAATTGAAATTTTTACATTAGTTTTAATTGTTTCTAAAATACGAAATGTTAAATCAGATGAACTAAAAATTATATTGATATCACATAATATTGTATTTATAAATATTTTTTCAATAACAAGACCTGTCACAGCTTGTGTTACTCTGCCAAAGCCCTTTGAAGTTGATTTTTAAAAAAAAAAAACATTGTTTAAATCACAAAAATTAGGCAAATTTTATCCTATAGCTCCCATTTTAAAATTGCTTACATGAAAAGCTACGGTACTAAAAAAAATTAGGCAAATTTTATTCTTTAGCTCCCATTTTAAAATTGCTTACATGAAAAGCTACTAAAATGGCCGAATGGTTAACACATAATAAGGAGTAGGGTCGTCTCATGCGTCAGTGAAACGTCTATACATATTCGGCGAATATCGGTAGAATCCCTCAACCCCAGCACCAAAAAAAAACGAGGTCTGTCGAATGCGTCTATTTGTGTGACGTTAGCGCATGGCGGTCGTGACAAAATGAAAATGGACGAAAACGATGTAAATATTGGAAACAAGTGGCGATGATATCGTTTTGTGGGAGTATTTATGCAAATCAAAACGACTAGATTGAAGAAAAAATATATCTGAGTGAATTGACAGAAGTTTGGTTGCCTGACATTACGTATTGTTGAAAAAAAAACGAGCCGAAGCGAGAGCAGGTAAGATCGAGTTTTCAACAGGCATTGCATTCCTGTTCTTTTTTATTATATATTGTCTGGTACGACATGTGCTAAAACTCACTTTGTTGAACGGGTTACTTTCGTTGGTATCGCCATATAGGAACGCTTTTGTATTTATGGATTTAAATGGGAGGGTATTTAATGTTGAGATACGCTGAGACGAATAATTTGGGCAGTGCAGAAAATATTGTCGCTGTCTTCTTGAGTATGACCACAACTGCATGTCGGGTTATGTGAAATATGCATTAAAAATCTATGGAAGTTTGGAGCACTTTTACAATTACTAAGTCTGGAATGTATATTCTGAAATTTACGTTCTCCATAGTAACATCTTACTGACATCAATAAATACAAAAATATGACTAAGTCGACAAGACGGTATACAAGCCAAAATGCAAGTCGAAAATAAGAAATTAGGAAAAAAAAACAAGGGGCGCTATTATCGCAGTGTATTATTTCTTAATTTCCTATTTTCGAGTCGATTTTGGCTTGTACAGCGTTGCTGTCGCCGTCGCCTCACATGTTGTCGTAACTGCTACTTTTCGACTTTCGTGTTTTGGAGGGCGAAAAGTAGATATTAAGAATGGTAGGCTTCTATAGTTAGGCGTTTGTATATATGATTGTATACTTGACACATGTACGACCTGAATGGCTGAATGGCCGGTAACCAAATATGTTATTGTGAGTGTTAAACGACATCGTAATTATTTTATATTTTGCAAAAAAAAACAAACAACAAAAAACAAAACAAAAAAACACAAGCCGTGATTGCCATTACTACAATACGGATTACTAAATATACTTTGTGTTCAATTTTATATTTTAATACTGAAGACAGGACCGGACTATAAATGAACAAGGCGGATCCTTTTGGCTTATATTGAGCAATTAGTGCAACGTGTTACAGTTGAAAGTTCCAAAGCATTTTCACATTCCATGTCCGATAAATTTAATCATCATGCAACTACTGATTGGTGGGTCGTCGAAACATTTAGATGCATACATCACAACACCGTGGTTTAGACAACTTGCAATTGAACTAATTTTATTGTTGTACACATAATGAAAGAAACTGTGTTATTTCACAGCTGAATTGTATGGTAAGAACCGTAGAACCACCTTGTAGGGAATAACTTTTAAACTTTAACACCCTATACACACTCTGCCAGCGGCATCTTTGACCCACACTCACTTAAACCAAACTTTAAATCTTTCAACGGTTTAACAAGAAGGTGCTAAATATTTCCATTTAAATAAATACCAAAAGCAATTCGAAAAATAAACTCTAAGTAAAGGAACCATCTCAGTGAATAAAGCTATTAATATGCCGTTAACCCGTGAGGCAAACCGAATGGTGTTTTATAGTAAATTAGACGAATAAAACATATAGATGACATTAAAAATTGGATGACTTCAAACTTTCTTAAATTAAACGATGACAAAACTGAATATCTACAAATTGGTTCTAAAAATGTGCTTAGTAAAGTTGACTCTGATCCTTCAATTCGTGTGTGTAAAACTGTTATATCCCCATCACTAACTGCAAGAAACATAGGAGCCATCTTTGACTCACATTTTACAATGGAAAATCATGTTAATAATATTTGTAAGAATGGCTATTATAATCTGCGCAATATCAGCAGAATACGTAAATATTTATCTGTTGATGCTACTAGAACTTTAATTCAATCTCTTGTGATTTCACGTCTTGATTGTTTGAACTCCTTGTTAACTGGTCTACCGGATAAGCTAATTTCAAAACTACAAAAACTGCAAAATTCCGCAGCACGTCTGGTTACTGGTGTAGGTTATCATGAGCACATAACTCCAATTCTTTACACCCTTCATTGGCTTCCTGTATCATTCAGAATTGATTTTAAAATATTGTTAATTACATACAAATGTCTCAGTGGTTTTGCACCCCCATACTTATCTGAATTGATACAAATCCGCACTTCGGTGAGAAACACAAGATCCTCTAATGACGATTTACAGTTAGTACAACCTCGAGCCAGACTAGCATCCTATGGCGAGAGGGCCTTTTCATTTTATGCACCGTTAATTTGGAATAAATTACCTTATCTTATTCGGAAATCACCTTCCATCATTACATTCAAATCGCACTTGAAAACTCATTTATTCAAACAGGCTTTTTACTGATTTTACACATTTGACTGTTTTATGGGTAGTTTTTAAAAAATTTATGTCATTTTTACATTGTCTCTCTCTTCTTACTTTTTTATTTAGGAACTTCTTTTTTATTATAAATTGAATTTTTAGGAACTTCTTTTTATTATAAATTGTATTTTACTTTGTTATTGTTAAGTGCATCTGAACACTTTGGTGACAGATGCGCTATATAAATGTATTAAATAATAAATAAAATAATAATATAACGTTGCCATCTCGACCCTGATGCCCATGAACACAAATGACGAGTTTAAGACAAACCAATGGCGGAATGGAATTGATTAATGGAATGAAATATTTATTATGTATGGACACTAAGTTTTCTGGTTAGACTTTAGCCTAAAAAAACATGCTGATTACAATTTTGGCAGTCATATATGAATGGCTCAAAAACTGGTTATATTTCTTTAACTTTTGGTATACTTAAATTCGGGCTATTATTTATGGTAGAAAGATATAATAAAATGACCTAAAGCTTTAAAACATATTTTTAAATATGTTGATGTACCCTAAATTGAATTTGAAGCACCAAGGATAAATAAATAAAAATAGCTATAATGCATGATTTTACGTTTTGCTGCATTGGAAAAAACATATCAGTAACGCTTTTTCAACAAGCAATTGTAGAGCGTCAAATCACAATGTTATTGTACTGTTTTAAACTGTAATTGTATTCATTCATGTAAAACATTACAATTTTATAATAAAATGTATAAAACACCGAGTTCGAGATTCAAATCACAAATCCGTCCAGTCATCTAGTTTTGGATTTGGGGAAATTCATTCTCCTTTTCCCATAAATACAGATTGCCGTATTATTTAATAATCAAACCAAACAGCATGTATTATGTAATCAAAGAAATCTTGTATCCGCCATATGTAATATTGTCACGTGACATTGTTATGTTTTGTTTCGCTTGGGAAGCATTTTTTATACACAATAGAACTCCAGTGTAGTAAGCCATAACTATGAAGAATATCATGTCCCAAATAAATAATCTAATTTGTAGATCTGCAATTGGTCACATGATGGTCCGAACATTATTTGTATGGCTCTATTTGTTGACAGCAAATACCGCTAATAATTATCTTGAATAAACAATCAGCATTGATGTTACTAGTGAATTACCCACAGTTCTGTGCAAAACGCGCTTAAAGCTCGCCGTAACAGTCCGTTTCATTGGCTAATTTCTCACACCATTCAGAACACGTCAACTCTTCCAGATCCAAGTGTAGTAAAGACAAAACGAAATTTTGAACTATAAAAACGAAACGAAATAGGATCTGTGTTTTAATCAGATTGATGCAGGGCTCGAAGATGGGGCCCACAGGCTCGCGAACCAAGGTCTTACTATTTGATAAAGGGTCTCATAACCGGAAACGTTATAAAGATGAATAAACCTAAGCCTGTTTTTTATAGTGCTGTTGAGCGGATGTTCAATATCAATTATCTTCATAATTAATTAGTGAACCGTATTTCTGTATTTTAGTAGTGATGGTGGAACAGTTAGTTCTATACTGGTCATAAACGGAGTGGCAGAAAAAGATTATCATAGAACATTTAATTGTTTGTTAGAGACCCCTGCCAGGAGCAAGAATTTTTCCATTCATATATCTCCTCCAGGTAAAAAAGAGTATTTTTGTTTGAAACAAAAATGAGGTGGGATTAAACGTCCTACTTGTCTGCAACAATTAAATAAAATGAAATGCGGTTTAACCTCCAACTGTTCTGTTCCGACTGGGCGAATGAACACAGAGTCTGCAACAAACGAATACGAAAACGACCTTTTACAGTGGACTAAATCATAAATCTGATGATGAGAGCCCTTTACCGTGAACTAAATCATTTATCTGATGGTAATTAGTACCCTTTATTTACCGAGAACTAAATCATAAATCTGATGATAATGAGAGTCCTTCACCATGGACTAAATCATTTATCTGATGATAATGAGAGCTATTTACCTTGGACTAAATCATTTATCTGATGATAATGAGATCCTTTACGGTGAACTAAATCATTTATCTGATGATAGTGAGATTCCTTTATCGTGGACTAAATCATTCACCTGATGATAATGAGATTCTTTTATCGTGGACTAAATTATTTATCTGATGATAATGAGAGTCCTTCACCGTGGACTAAATCATTATCTGATGACAATGAGATTCCTTTATCGTGGACTAAATCATTTACCTGATGATAATGAGATTCTTTTATCGTGGACTAAATTATTTATCTGATGATAATGAGAGTCATTTACGGCGAACTAAATCATTTATCTGGTGATCATGAGAGTCCTTTGCCGTGGACTAAATCATTTATCTGGTGATCATGAGAGTCCTTTCCCGTGGACTAAATCATTTATCTGATGATAATGAGAGCCCTTTATTGTGGACTAAATCATTTATCTGATGATAATGAGATTCCTTTACCGTGGAATAAATGCTATTATATAGCTCACAATGATCACTGCCCTTTAACGTGGAATAATAATATTTGCATTACTTCTTTGTTTGTAGTTACAATACCGGATCGCAGATTATATTTCCTTTATCTGTTTCTGCTGTTTCCCCTGATACTGATAGTTGGTATCCTTATGAACTGTTTATTTGGGGCCCGCATCAAATACTGGTATAAAACCAAATGTCCCTGCTCAGCCTATTCTCTCGATAAAGGTAGTGTATAATTTAACACTTATTCGATATGTATTTTTATCAGGGCAAAAAAGGGGAAAACATACGGTCACCCAGACATTTTTCTCGTTTCCAAATCGACTTTTGGTTGCTTTTCTGCAGACATTGAAAATATTGGTATTATAACAGTCCGAAATTGAAATGACATCACAAAGGCTATAGACGTAGTTTATTAAAATATTAATTTATTAGTTCCTTTAGTTCTACGCAATCTTTTCCCACAAACTCCACGAAAAAGAGGAAAATGATTTTTCAACCGATCAATCCTATTGTACGTTGAAAAGTAAACGTAAGCACAGGCATTTTTTTTATTTAACCTTAACATATATGAATAGAATACGACAATGTTTTGGAAATACTCTCCATTTGAGATTACAAAAATTAACAGCTCCAAATACATATTAAGATTAACTGGTAAACAAAATCAAACACAGTGACTGCAACCAAAGGGATATTTTATCACATAGAATGTTCCTGTGGGATTTGTTACACCGGGGAGACAAAACGCCCATTAAATAAAAGGCTAGATACACCACAAATCGAAAGCAGCAACCAACAACTCGACTGTAGCTGAACACTGAAAAACCCAACCCCCGCCACAGAGTTCAATTGTGAAATGTTAAAACGCTATGCAGAATTATCAGCAACAAGACGACACGCCGACTACATGATGCCATTCAAATTCAAAGACAACTTTACTACATTATTAGGCTTAGCATAATACATTCTATTAATATCAATAATTAATATTTAATAATAGTCTCATCACTAGTCAAGATTAATAATCTAAATTTTGTACATGATTACAATAGTCTCTTTTAAAAATAGTATTTAATAATTGTTTTCTTCTCTTTTTTTCCTTTTTTTTTGCCTTTCAGCGCATTAGTTCTGTAAAATGTTTTTGTTATTGAAAGTTAATAAACCCAATAGTCCAAATTCTGCCTTGCTAATAGAAAGCCCCATTTCCCTTTAATAGGTGGTTGATATGATTTGAATCTGAAGGAATCCCAATAGTATCCAGTGTAAATACTACTCACTGATTTCATTATTTGGCCTTCAGTGGACCATTGATGGTTTGTGGAGTCATTGTTCTAATGCTTTCTGCATATATGTGAAATCACGTTACATCTACATGCCTGTATCAACATTTTTCATTGATAATATTAATTAAATTTCATCTTCTTTCAGGGTGATGTGATTATTAAACCTGATCAAATCATTGGCAATAGTCCACAGCAAGTTATCCTTTAATGTAGTTGTTTTATTTTCAGATAACGTGACAATCTGATTAAAATACAAATCTATATTTCGTTTCGTTTTTTTATACTTTCGATGGCCTAAACTACATGAAGATCTGACAAGTTATAGCGATAGGTCACGTCAGGGGCCAAAAGACCGACTTATGACCTTATGACGTCAGACGTTTGATTAACCAATCAGCATTGATGTTACTAGTGGATTACCCACAGTTACGTGAAAACCACGCCTAAAGCTCGCCGTAACAGACCGTTTCATTGGCTTATCCCTGACACCATTCAGAACACGAGTTAAATAACAACTCTTCCAGATCCAAGTGTAGTAAAGACAAGTAAAACGAAATTTTGAACTATAAAAACGAAACGAAATAGGATCTGTGTTTTAACCAGATTGGGTAACGTGGTATATATGGGGTGTTCTTACTTTCCCAGCAGCTATTGTTTTCCAGGTAAAATCATTGTCCACTACTAATTAGGATAACAATGGTGTTAAAACTATAGTCTTTTTCATATCCATATTAACCACTTTACCTAAATGTCTTTTTCATATCCATATTAACCACTTTACATAAATTTCTTTTTCATATCAATATTAACCACTTTACATAAAAGTTCTTTTATTAACAAATTTAGCATGTAAATATATATTTTTCATATCAATATTAACTCATTTACATACAAGTTATTTTATTAACAAATTTAGTATTGTACATGTATATTTAAAATCCGACTAAATGTGATATCGAATTTCCGTATTCATATAAAGTCGTCAAACCAGTTAATAATCTTTGTTTGTCATCATGTATTCTTCTGTTTAATTCTATTTATTTTATTTTCTTTGGACGTGAAACGCCTCCATTTCCATATTGTAAAATTTGTATCTCTGCGTAATCCTGTTCTGACTTTAGTAGTTCTATGAATCTAAAAATATTCGGATGGTTTGACGATACTTTCTTTAACTTTGAATGCCAACCTTCAACATTGTTGGTTGTTCTTGTACCTTCAGTATAGAAATGGTTCCATAAACCTATATCTACACCTTCGACCCACTGTTCTATAATATAGTCTGCAAATTCGCGAACCCCAGGAATGTCCATTTTATAATTATCATAAACTTGGCTTCGAGTACCTCTCAAGTTTGGAACGAATCTAACGTTTACCTGTGCATTAGTCATTTTGGAATGACATACAATTTGAACTTTCAACTATTTAATAAACTTTTATCATAAACAGTGTTCATCGTAATTAAGTATAAAAATAACCTGACATATGAACGAAAAATAAGACAGTGATTTATAGTTCACACATGTCATAGGTTAAATTGAACTGTTCATGCAATAATTACAACAGAGTATAACTCACTAATCTATAACTAATCCCCAATCCGCTTAATTAGTAAGGTTAAACTGCTGGGAAAGTGAGAACAAACGGTATATATCATATTGGATGTTGTTATTAGCATTACCTTTATCAACCTTGATCACTTTCAATAATTACATAACTTACTCTGGTTGGTTAGCATTAACCAGGTATTATTGTTAAAATGTATAGCCCTATATTTTCTTGTCATATTTCAGATTTTATCATTGCTTGATAACGACTAGATAATCCTAGTGCAAACGTCGCTCAGTAATAAACAGTAATGATATTCCATAAAATTATGTCTTGCCTATTCCCAGAAGCTAAAAACGTTGAGATATAGAGAATCTCCTACCAGTCTTTTTTCATATCAAAAAATATCAACAAAAGTTGATAAAGTAGCCTCGTTTATATTTTACTTTATCAACGAGTGTTGATATTCTTTGATATAAAAAAAAGACGAGTAGGAGATTTTATTTATCACCCAATCCCTTCTTACATGCACAAATAGATAAATATAATTATTTGCTGTAGATTTCACTTTTACTGAACATTACGACGTAGTGGTACATCAATTCAACCATTCCAAAGTCCTTTATATTGACCCAGTGTTTCCATCAAGGTCAATTGAATAACAATAGTTCATTTTTAATAAAAAAAATAGTTACTTTTAATAAGAAATGAACTGTTCTTTGAAAATAAAATAAAGTAGTTCCTTTTTAACTGACCAATCAATTAGATTATGAAATATATCACACAAGCGATATCTACTGTAGAATGTATTATTAGGTGATAAATACTGATGTGCTTGTGTTTAGTTACGATTAGTTGCCTTTAGTTTCACCTGGCAGACTTAATTTCATTATTAATGCATGTAGCATCTTGAAAATAAGTTAATTGTATACTATTAGAACTTCTTAAACATACGCAGCCAACTCTAGTGAAACAACTTTACTTTTATCTGCAAATATTGTCAATAAATTAAATCAAGTGATGTTTTTATCAAAATTTATACGGATATCCATAATTAGGTGTAACTAATATCAGGTTAGTACTTTGATTGACTGTTGTACACGACGTCCCACCTTTATGACGTCAAGGATTTCAAATTTACAATGCCGAAGAACCAGGCTGTTATTGCCTCGATTTAAACAGACGTGATTTGTACCATTATTGTAATTGAATGTGGCAGACATGTTATGATGACCGATGTGATCCTCGTTGGAGGTTTCTTATCTAGCCTACTCCCAGTTCAATTACTAAATTCCACTGAAACAATTTACAAAATTATGGTTTAATTTATTTTAGATGGTGTTTACCAGATTAATTCTTGTAATTGTTCATTTTAGATGGTGTTCACCAGATTAATTCTTGTAATTATTTATTTTAGATGGTTTTGAGAATGATATTTTGATAGTTAGAAGTGATAAAGATAGGGCTTTTGTTGAGGATCATGTAAAAAAACACATAAAGGGCTATAAGGTATTTGATAAAGACAGTGTTCAGCTAGGACAAAGTGAGTAGCACTCCACAAACTATAACTATTAAAGTAAATAGGGACTCAATGATTAGGGCGTTGGTTCACTATCCAGAAGGAGGGGGGCGGGGCACGGTGGCTCGCTAACCTGGCGGTTCCGTGTTCGATTGCTGAGTTGGCCAAGAAAGTTGATCAGTGGTGTAGGACACTGGCAAGGGACAACGTATAATCGTTCCGATGGGACAAAAAACTGAGGTCCCGTATACACATTGGTATGCACCTTAAGGAACCCTTGACAGTTGGAATTTAAAATAAGAGTAGGCTCTTTAACAAGGGGTTCCCGGGTTAGCTCTGGTATTGACCGAGTACGATCCCCAGATTTTCCTAGTGTGTGGTCCCTTAGTCACCAGCATAGCATACATCCTTCCACGTTTAAAGAACCCGGCGCTTAAAGAAACTATGGATGATATTTTAATCGATTAGAAATGACCACTTGACCACTCAATCTCTGTTATACTAAAAAAAACAAATTATTTAAAAAGTTTTATTGAACGTAGGAATCGTTGAATAGATTTTTATTATTGCTCTCCTAAGTAATGTCCCGATGCGCCATTTGCATTTGGCGGGGGAGGGGTGGGGATTTGATGGCCGAATAGTTAGCGTGTGCGCGTTGTATCATAAGGGGTGTCTCACGACTTATTACATTTATCAGGTATGCAAGCCTGATAAACGTAACTGACATTCATAAATAATAATGGGTAATCATGTATGCGTATGACATATCCTTTAACGAAGCAATCGGATTAAAATGCAGATCTATATTTCGTTTCGTTTTTTTATACTTTCAATGGCCTCTACTATATGAAGATCTGAACGATTGTAGTGGAGGGTCGCGTCAGGGTTTGTACGAGCGACTTTTGAGCCTATGATGTCAGACATTGATTAATCAATCAGTGTTGACGTTTCTAGTGGTTTACCCAAAGGTCCGTGCACATCACGCCAAGAACTCTCCGTAACAGACCGTTTCATTGATAATCCCTCACATCAATCGGAACGCGGGTTATATAACAACTCTTCCAGATCCTAGTGTAGTAAAGACAAGTAAAACTAAATTTTGAACTATACAAAACGAAACGAAATAGGATATGTGTTTCAATCAAATTGTTGACGAAAACAAAATAATAAAACAAAACCTACCTCCCGAAGAATAATTTTGGAGGATCATTTTTTTTGGCATGACCTAACTATATTGTTCTCTCCGGCCATCATCTGTGATAAAAATTCTCTGATTTATTTCAGTTGAAAACTCTAAAATGACAGAAGCTATACCAAAGAGCTATTCAATAGTTATCATTTATTCTAAAGACTTGTTAATGGATAGAGATGCCGACTATATATTTCAAATCATCAGAGGTGTTGGACATCGGAACGTCATCGTTATCAAATTGGAAAATATCTCGAAAGAGGAACTAAAATCAATCATAAGTGATGAAATCTTAAAAATCTCTCATTCAGTTTGGCCAAGTATTACATGGCCGACTACTGGTACCGAAAATAGTCGAAAGTACAAAAACTTTATTTATGATTTGAAAGACAAACTACTTACAAAATCAATTCCGATACCAACGATGCCAGAGGAAGCGAGTGATGTATCAAGTCCAAGAAGAACTTCATCCGAACTCCCATTACTATCTCAGAATTCCAGTGGAGGTGACAGTGGATATGCCACATCACCAGATATAATAAAAGAAGAACCTCGGTTAATTTAAATAAAAACCTAAAGGCGGAGTCTGAACATTTTATTTCGAATAACGGCAAGAAAAAAAGATTACTATGTAAAATATAGACTTGAGTTGCTATCTGAGTAATAGTTATCCAGTATCAACCGTTTCTGAAGTATATGGACACACATTTCAAAGCGTGTGGTTATCTATATCAACCCGCACGGATGTTGATTCTTGGAATAACATCGTGTAAAACAGAACGTTGATACGAGGAATACTCATCTTATAAGATCAAACTTGTTATAGGATAAACCGGAGGTGTGTAAATATCAATAGTTGTCATGGGTGATAAAATCTTCTTTTTTTGGGGGAGGGGGGGTAAACGTCAATAGTTGCTATGTTGCTATCAGAGATATAGTTTGGGAGTGTGTAAGGATTAATAGTTGCTATGGGAGATATAGTATGGAAGTGTGTAAAACATCAATAGTTGCTATGGGAGATATAGTATGAAAGTGTGTAAAACATCAATAGTTGCTATCTTCGCTACTAAAGACAGATGTCTTCCGCAAGCGACAACGGAGACTGTCATGACATATTCAACGTTAGGGTCAGAAATCAGGAAATGACTGACATTGCAGTAAATGTGACTGTTTGACAAAATTACCCGATCGATCGAGATTGTTGTTCAAGGATTCAATATACTGTATATGACATCATCTGTGGATTGCGTAACTTTGACAGTCACAGTGCATAAAAGTTAATTTAATTTGGAAGGATTGTAACACGATCGCCATTTAATAATTTAATTTAAAAAGTGGATAATCGAGACTTTGTTTATTACCGTAACATGGGTATCACATCAACAAAGAAACACACACAATGCACTAAGAGAACCAACATTGCGTTTTTAAAGGTGCACAAAACTGGGAGCACCACGATGTCAAACATATTACATAGATTTGCACTGAGATACAATCTTAATGTTGTTCTTCCGAATACAAATGGGACACGACACTTCTGGGTTCTTGGTTTACTGGATAACGACACACACAAGAAGACTATCCCTGTGGCTAGAGGGAAAGAATATAATATACTAGCTGTGGATACTTTTTATAATACACGTATATATGAACAACTTATTCCCAATGACCCATTTTTCTTGGCTATATTACGGGAACCTGTCGAACGTTATATTTCATTTCTGTTCTACGATAATCGTATTGATACTAAAATGAAACGAAAAATGAAAACTGATCCATATATCTTCCGGAACTATACCGGTAAAGCATTTTCTGTCTTGGAGGATTTCAGTTTTCCTGTACAAAACTTGAGTCTAGTCAGATATACTGAGCGAATGGACAACGAATTTGATATGATCATGGTGACCGAGTATTTTGACCAATGGTTGATTTTGTTGAAACGGAAGCTGTGTTGGACTTTCCAAGACATTATATATATTACTCGTAATACGAATTTAAAGAATACAGGATATGCTATAAGTCCGGCCGACAGACAAAACATTATTAATCTTTTGAAAAATGATTCGATATTTTACGAACATTTTAAGAGTAAATTGTTTAAAGAATTGAGTAAACTTGGTGCCGATTTTATAGAAGAATTACACAAGTTTAAACTGATTCTTAAACTTGTTAAAGATTATTGTACATTTGTTAAAAAGGGAGATAAGTCTCTTGTTATTTCTAAATCACCGTGGAACCAACGCTTTATTGTAGATCCTCATGAGTGTCATATTATGCAATTGACAGAATTTCCCCTTGTTCAGATATTACAGAACCGTCAGCGTAAATTATGTTCAAAATAGTATAGCGACATTTAATAACTGATTGATAACAACACATGACACAATTACGTTGTGTATGGAATATAAGTTACTTTAGAGGCTTTCTTCTGGCGACGTTTCGACCAGGGTTCTTCCGTTTTTGCGATAAAGACGAGAGCACCTTTATAGACGGGAGAACCCTCGTCAATAATAATCTTGCCAGAGTAACTTGTATTCCATTTACAGGTAATTGTGTCATGTACTATATGTAGGGTGCCCCACCAAAAATAAATATCTCCCAATATCTCCAAATATTTTGAAAATTATACCTCAATAAGTATATATATAACAAGTCTTAATCACCTCACATATATAGTCCATAGATAAACGGTCGTGTTGTATTTAACAAGTTATAAGCATTTCAAATATTTGAAAAAATAGACAGAAAAAGTAGCGAAGCCGCCGCGATTAAATCCGGGCATTTTTTCGATTTCCCGGTTGTACTTGAAAAGGAGTAGGGTCGCCTGTCCAACCTCGTCGGCTTTCTCCGGGTTCTCCGGTTTCCTCCCACACCTGAAGACCCCCTACGCGCAAGCGAATTATTGAAATAAAATTGAACCATGTGTTAATCTCGAAATGGCCTAGTTTGTGTCGAGTGGACGTTAAACCCCATTTCTCCCTCTCTCCATTTGCATTTTTCGTTAATATATCAAATTTTTCACGACTTAATACATTTATCAGGTATGCAAAAGTAGCGAAGCCGCCGCGATTAAATCCGGGCATTTTTTAGTGAAAAATAGATTATCTGCCCTTGATATGAAATTATTCCCTCTTAACCCGTCTACCTTCTCCGGCTGATTGACAGACCGGGGTAATCAAGACTATTTGTTACGAAACGTTACAGAAAGCTAGATCAATAATTCTAATTTAGAAACACCCACGTTAGGCAACTCAACGATTGTTTGGAGAACCTTATAAAATCAAAAGAAAGATACTACTAGTATGATATTCTAGCCTAACGAAGTAGCTTCCCAGATATTAATTTTACTAAACCAAAAGATGCCGCTCCTAACGGTATAGTTCATAATATAGCGAATTAAAAAACAAAACGAACGTACTTTTTCAAAGCTGCTGTAACAACGAATCAGAAATATTATTGTTATTCAGAATCGTTAACACCAGATTTTTTACGGTTTTAATAGTGATAGATGTGTTGAAAATTTCACGTGCGATGGCTATTTATAGATTCATTGACTATACCGCCCAATAGTCTCGCACTGCGTGAGAAACCAGAAATCAGTTGGGACTAGTCACTGAAGCGTGCACATTCGCTGTGTGTGAAATAGTTTTTTTTAACGTCCGCTTCCACCGAGGTGACATCGCAGACATTCGCTGTGGCGTGTACAACTTTTAATAGAGAAAATATTGGCTGTGTGGGGCAACATCTAATTTGTTTTACCAGGTGTTTGAGTGTTAACATGTTTTATGTTTTACTTGGGGGGCGGGGTAACAGCCGTTTCGCCATCAAAAATTGTAATAGAATGAAAATGAATGAAAGGTGGTTTAATGGCATGTCAGCACCCAGCGGGATATTTTGCGCCAAGCATATGGTGATTTTTGCGAGACAAATTAAAGAACTATTAAAAAATAAATATTCATATAACATATGGTGATGTTTTTAAGAGTTTTAAATATACGTGCCTTTCCTATTGTATGCTGTACCTTACCTGTATATCCTTTTTGTATTTATATTTTTCTATTTTTCTATTTGCTTTTATATCTATGTAAAGCGCACTCGAGCACGCTAGTATGGAAGTGGCGCTATATAAATGCATAATAATAATAATAATAATAATAATAATTAAAAACAAATATCACAGACATGTTAATGAAGAAAAAACAAATAACGCATAGCTTTATGTATATAAATAATAAAATTTTAAAATGAAAAACACGATTATATATATATCCAGAAATATTAGTACAACCGTAAAGCTGCACTACTTTGTTTCACGGTAAAGATATATATAGATATATATAAATGGTGGAAATTATCTAAATATATATATATATATACCAAAAATAATATACCTTTTTCTTTAGCTAGAAAAATATGCACCATTGTGATAGATGAAGACCTCCGGGTTGTCAGATTAGGTGAGCTAAAAAGAAATTTATTGAAACAGTATTACCCTCTCGAGGTAATAGAAGTTGGGATAAATAAGGCTTTGACAATTGATATTCAAACACTGAGGGCTACTAAAGCAAAAGACAGTTCGGATAATATCATTACCTTTGTCGCTACTCATAACCCCCAACATCCCAACTTCTTTAAAACAATGTACGAGAGTAGGGCAATCCTGGCATCAGACGACAACCTCAGAATGAAATTTGATAAGGTTCAATTCATTAATTTAATCAATATAATTTTCCTAAGTTTACATTTAGTGTCAACGACAATATGAATTGTGACACAAAAAAATCTCATATATGTCTTGACTTGCAATGGGTGTCTAAATTTTTACATAGGGGAGACGTCCACGCATCTACGGGATAGAGTACGCAACCATCGACGGGATTGTAATATTGAAAAAGGGCCCTTATTTGTAAATAGACATATTTTTAAATGTGCACAACACCTACAAGTAAAATTCCAAATTTTCCCTTTTTATAAAATGAAAGTCGATGACACCACGAAAAGGAAATTAATGGAAAACCATTTTATTAAAAAATATGTTCCTCGACTTAATAGACAATAAGTAACAATTGGCCATTAGCTTCATTAATTTTCTTAAATCTATCCCATGATTATCTTCCACTCATTGTTCATAAATTGAACTCCATATACTACAGATTAACACATGTGTGTACATGTTTCTATTAGTTAACGATATACTATGTAACCATAGACAATGGTAACTATAGCCATGTAAATATGTATAAATATACTATACTGTCCATCTTTATACAATGACATTATTTATGAATAGTCCCAAGACGGACGAAAAGTACTTTAAAATGTTAAAATGTTATTAAACCAGTGTTGAAATACCTTTTTTTTTTTTTATCTTTTTCATCATTTAGCGTGAAACAAAGTAGTGCAGCTTTGCGGTTGTGCAAATAATTTTGGATATATATAGATATATATATATTTAGATAATTTCCACCATTTATTTGTAATCATTTTATAAATAGGTATTTTTATGTTGCTAATTGGTGTTTATTTCTTATTTTTCTAAATAAAGACCAGTGCTTATGATTGCCATCTCCCGCCTCCCAAGAAAGCAGAGAATTACTGAAATCGATTCGTCCGTCGATATACGTCATACTTTTTGGGACACAGTAACTTAGAGAAGAAATTTATGAGCCGACTGCCTTGACTGAATTTAATTTGGAAGGGTCAGAGTCAGTCAAAGCTTAACATCTTTCATAAACTGTTATAATAAATAGCGTTGCGTATTTTCTGTTACCTGGAAACCCGTCTGTCAATATCAACATCACCAACTAGAAATTTCGAAAGAGAAAGAAAATTTTTTCAGCTATTTGTTTTTAGATCTTTGAATTCGTTATGTCCGATTTTTATTCATACCATTAATTTAGTTAGGCAATGATTTTATCTTTCCCATGTATCGGCATGTATTGGATCATAATTTTAATATAAAGTATAATGGCGATTGTATTCTGCGGGTATTGCTTTTATATATATATATATATTTAATATGGTTTTCAGGGTTATTAAATTCTAATTTGTGTTAAAAAATTAATTAATCAACTCCAAACATCTGTTAAGCGTTTTTATTTCTTTAGTACAATTTCTGTGTCTTCATTTGATATGTTTTGCTTCATCTTCCCCGGGGTTAAATGTGGTTTCGATATATATGTTCAGAATTTGTGCTCCAATTAACCTCATAAATCACGGGGATAATAATATGAAACTGCTTAATCTTGGAAAATATCAGTGTCATTCAATGAAAAACTGTTAGATAACTATACCTAATGAGAAATTGGAAACTTCTTTATGTGTGTGTGTTTTGGGGGTTTTTTTTGGTTTTTTATTGTTTTGTTTTTTATTTTTTATTTTTTTTTCTTTCTTGAGGGGTTGGTTGGTTTGGGTTGGGTTTAATTATGCAAATATATATGTTTTTATTTTTCAATGATATGAGTGTACAATTAAAGTTTATAAAGGTTTGGGGGTGATTTTATATTTTATACTGTTATATATCTATATATATATTTGTGACTGTCGTTTGTCTGTCTGTCTGTTCGGGGTTGGCGGCTACACTAGGTCTGCCCCGAGTCTGAAATTTGGGGTATAGGGGTAGCTCGGACCGGGGAGTAACATAGGCCAGATGGCGTTAGTCTACCACTTCCGGTTTCGGAGTTATGACCCCCTAGCGAAGCCGGTCTGTTCGGGGTTGGCGGCTACACTAGGTCTGCCCCGAGTCTGAAATTTGGGGTATAGGGGTAGCTCGGACCGGGGAGTAACATAGGCCAGGTGGCGTTAGTCTACCACTTCCGGTTTCGGAGTTATGGACCCCGAGCGAATTCTGTCTGTTCGGGGTTGGCGGCTACACCTGCCCCGAGTCTGAAATTTGGGTATAGGGGTAGCTCGGACCGGGGAGTAACATAGGCCAGGTGGCGTTAGTCTACCGCTTCCGGTTTCGGAGTTATGACCCCCGAGCGAAGTCTGTCTGTTCGGGGTTGGCGGCTACATCTGCCCCGAGTCTGAAATTTGGGGTATAGTGGAAGCTCGGACCGGGGAGTAACATAGGCCAGATGGCGTTAGTCTACCACGTCCAGTTTCGGAGTTATGACCCCCGAGCGAAGCCGGTCTGTTCGGGGTTGGCGGCTACACAAGGTCTGCTCCGACTCTGAAATTTGGGGTATAGGGATAGCTCGGACCGAGGAGTAACATAGGCCAGGTGGCGTTAGTCTACCACTTCCGGTTTCGGAGTTAGACCCCCGAGCGAAGTCTGTCTGTTCGGGGTTGGCGGCTACACTAGGTCTGCCCCGAGTCTGAAATTTGGGGTGTATGGGTAGCTCGGACCGGGGTGTAATATGGGCCAAGTGGCGTTAGTCTACCACTTCCGGTTTCGGAGTTATGACCCCCGAGCGAAGCCGGGTATCCTGCTAGTGTATATATAAATTACAATGCATACTATTTATATCTATATACATATGTTTTTAACTATAGCAAACTTTTTGCTTCAACTGTAATAAAAGTTCAAACGTTCAGAAGGTTATGTGATCCGTGTTTATTGCAACTGTGCTACTAATCACAGAAATGGGCTGAATTGTTGTTAGGATTGTCGCACATTAAATATGTGCATAAGCTAGAAACATCAGGATATACTCCGGAAAGCACCATTTATAGTCAGCTTTTCAACAGAAATTTCTCACCCGGTTAAACGAACCCCTCCAGATCCCCAAGGAGCGGGAATTCCTCACTGAGCAAGGATCGGGGGCCAACGGCCCATAGTCCGTCCCTGGTATCATATAGACTGATAATAACAGGTTTATTTCTGTCTTATGTATTTCACCACAAGTTATTGCGATTGCCACAGCTGTGGTTTATTTTTTCATAAGCAATGGTGTGTGTGTGTGTGTGGGGAAGGGGGTATGCAATAGCTAAAGTATTTCATGTTCTAGGTTTAAAGAAACAAGACGTCCCGAAGATAATTTGAAATGTGTTTACGACTTGTCTTCACGACAATCAAGTCGTCCGATTTCTTCTTTAGTATTCATCGATTCAATGCCTTCATCACCATTGAGCTGCTTAATGACTATGGAGCGGAATTTCCCCCATAATTCTAACTCCTAACCTAGAAATGCGTATGCTAACTTCTATGCATGTAACTTCTTACTAACACATGTTAAATTGGCTATTTACACATGTAAATATTGCAGTTAGAATTTGTATTTTGTTTTATATCCATTAATACTTTTAATTTACTGTAAGCTGTTTAGTTTCGTTAACATTAATTTTGACAATTCACAAATGTTACGCGATAAAGGCGTCATAATTCTAAGCACATTTTGGTAACAGATGGCGCTGTTTACAATTGTATGGAGACTGAGTGGGGACATGTAAAATCTCGCCTTTTTGATAACCCGACAGATAAAAATTATAAAATATTTTATGTACAAAAGCAAACTATTCTAGATATTTTAAAATCAATAAACAAGATTCCTTGTCGTGCATTTTTCCTAATATTGCTATATCGATTGATTTGGCCCATTTTGTTTCTAAAAGAACAATAAAATATTTAGTAAGAACTCATGCATGACGTAATGAGTTCTTGCTATATATTATTCTTTTAGAAAACAAATAGGTCAAACAATCGATAGTGCATTATTTGTGGAAATGCACGATAAAATAGCCTATTTATTTATCAAATAAATTATCTAAAATAGTTTGCTTTTGTACGTAACATATTTTATTATTTTTGACAGAAAAATATCGTCATGTCTGTCGGGTTGTGGAAAGGGCGCGATGTTACATGTTCCCAATAAGCCAGCCACCATACAATTGTAAACAGCGCCGTCTGTTACCAAAATGAGCTTTAGAATTATGGTGCCTCTACCGCGAACATTTGTAAAATGTCAAAATGTTAACGAAGCTAAACTGACATTAAGAGTAATAATGAAAATAGAACAAGAGAGAGAGAGAGAGATGGGTTTAACGTCCACTCGACACAAACTAGGTCATTTCGGGACTAACACATGGTTTAATTTTATTTCAATAATTCGCTTGCGCGTAGGGGTCTTTAGCATTGGGAGGAAACCGGAGGACCCGGAGAAAACCCACGAGGTTGGACAGGCGACCCTACTCCTTGCCACGTACAACCGGGGATTCGAAACCACGCCAGTTGACTCAATGACAGACTTTATGGTACAGCGCGCACGTGCTAACCATTCAGCCACCCAACCCCCCAAAATAGAACAAAATACAAATTCTAATTCCAATATTTAAAAAATAAGTCATATAAATTAGCATTTTTATATACATGCGTAAATAGCCAATTTAACATGTCTTAGTAAGAAGATACATGCATAGAAGTAAGCATATTAGCATGAAGGAAATTTCGCTCCATAAATGACCATTGCCCACGAAAAACAGTATTCATGTGGCAATCCCAATAACTAGTCGTGAAATGAAGAAGAGACAGAAATGAACCTGTGGTTACTATCGGTCTAAATGATGGCTGTGACGTCATGTGTGGCTCTCACTCTACTGGGGCCCGGTGGTTTGTTTTGAAAAACTGAATGTAATTAATGTTTTTTATAGTTTATGCACAAAATTGGCGTGTAACAAATTCAGCTGAACTTATGTTTTGAACGAAATATTGAATTCAGTAACCCCCCCCCCCCCCAAAAAAAAAACAAACTTACTTTAACAGCTATATTCGCAAGAACAAACATCGCCATGGTTTTTATTTTAATTTTACACCATCTGGCCTATTCATAATTAGTCTTATTGAACTCGGGTAGAAATTAAAACTCCGGAACCTCTAACCCCATATATAAGACATATTACCAGCCATATCCAAATTCCACCAATTGAAATAAAGGTGAACCATATGTTAATCCCGAAACGACCTAGTTTGTATCGAGTTGACGTTACCCCCATCTCTCTCTCTCTCTCTCTCTCTCTCTCTCTCTCTCTCTCTCTTATTTCGAATACCATATGTCAAGTGTTCTTTTTCGCTTATGGCTATGATTACACGGGACCTCGGTTTTTCATCCCATACGATTGACTAAACGTTGTTTGTCAGCCCCCCCCCCCCGTCCTGCATCACTGACAAGGGGGAATCCGCCTGAAAATCTGGATGAACTTTCTCGGCCAATGCAGGGATCGAACACCCGACCTCCACGTCCTGCATCACTGACAAGGGAAATCCGCCGGAAAATCTGTATGAACTTTCTCGGCCAATGCAGGGATCGAACACCCGACCTCCAGACTGGCTTAACATCCACTCTTTGCAAACTAAATCATTTCAATAATTTGTTTTCACATAGGGGTCTTTAGCAGTGAATAGAAGCCGGGGTATCCGGAGAAAACCCACAAGGTTGGACAAGCGACCCTACTCACTTGTCATGTTTAAGCGGGGAATCGAAACCACACCACTTGAATCAATGTCAGACCTTGTGATTTCACGCGCACGTGTTAAACCACTAGACCACCCAATCCCCATGTATGTTGTTGTATATTGTATATATCGGTACGGGAAATTTGTTTTATAATAGGCCTATATAATAAATTAAATTGTTGTAGCCTAAGGTGTGTTTTTTTTTTATCAGACATTTTTGGCAGATTAAATATCCCACTTGGCGGAAAAAAAATATGAACATTTTTTTTTTATATAAAAATTATCCATTTTGACGGAAAAGAATGAAATACAGTGTGAGCCCTGATTGCACGTATTCAAATGCGACCTGGAAAACTGAGACTACAACAACTTCCTAGGCGAAAGGTGTGTTAATTTCCTAATTTCTACTTTTCGGGTTGCATTTTGGCTTGTATAGCGTTTTAGCGCCTTCTTACTGACATCAATAAATACAAAAATATGACTAAGTCGAAAGTCGACAAGACGGTATACAAGCCAAAATGCAAGTCGATAAGACGGTATACAAGCCAAAATCCGAGGCGAAAAGTCGCTAATAGCGTGGTGTGTTAATTTCCTAATTTCTACTTTTCGAGTTGCATTTTGGCCTGTATAGCGTGTTGACGCCTTCTTACTGACATCAATAAATACAAAAATATGACTAAATCGAAAGTCGACAAAACGGTAGACAAGCCAAAATGCAAGTCGAAAATAAGAAATTAGGAAAAAACGAGGAGCGCTATTATCGCTGTGTGTTATTTCTTAATTTCCTATTTTCGAGTTGATTTTGGCTTGTATAGCGTGTTGTCGCCTCGCATTTTGTCGTAACTTCTACTTTTCGACTTTCGTGTTTTGAAGCATCTATGGCAAGGTTTGGGGGCATTATGAATGGTAGTTATAGGCTTCCATAAATTATACACGTTATAGCTTAATACCTGAAGGTATTTCTACGCTTTAGTATTAGTTAAAGCGTTTGTGTTTGTATTTTGATATATTTTGTTTCAAGCAATTATTCATTTTATAGTCGAAGGTATTTCTATGCTTTTGTATTAGTTAATGCCTTTACGTTCGCATTTTGATCTTGTGTTTGTGTTATAAAACGTATATCAAGAATTGTATATATGCAAGGATTGTATTAACTGGTTATTTTATATTAAAGAATTGAACAGAGTCTGGATTGTTCCTTCAACAACAACCCCAAAGACCTCCTTCTCCAAAACAGACATAAATAAACCGATAGACCTTTCACTTGATAAAGCATGATGAAGTTAAAGCGGATATTAATGCAAGCTTTAAAATAAGCACTATTATTCGGTGGTTACACATATTAGCAGTATTCTCCGGTAAAAGATCGAGGCCTTGTTTGATCCTGACTTCGGCTAAATTAATAAGGCATTAAAAGGTGATAATAAATATGACCCTAGCAACAGCACAATTCAGGGGAGAGCAATCCATTTTACTTAGAAAAAATTTAATGACAGAGTTTATCGTTACCCTGTTTGTAAAGGGGTGGGGGTGGGGGCTCATACAATGTTTGAGTGTCCAGGCTTTAATAATGTTACCCATGCACAACGAATAGATAAAGTGAGAGATGAAACAATTTGTCTATTGCTTATATCAAGTCCACCTCACAAAAGACTGTAGCATTAAGATGAAATGTAGCATTGATGGTTGTGCTAGACTTAAAAAAATGACTTATTCATGTTGACCCACCAACTAGTAGCGGTGTTTCTATCCCAAAGAAGAAAGAGGGTGTCAATATAACCTTATCCTGAGTAGAAACATTCAAACTAAATATGTTGCGAACATCAAACTTAATATTCGAATAGTTGCTAAAAAATACTAGAAAACAGAACGAGAACCATCTATTATACCATGAAAGCATACAATATCCGACATCTTAAATGTTTTTATTTATAACGTGTAACATTCTTGACGTTTTTGGGGGGTTTTTTTGGTTTATTTTAGGTAGTGTCTTTTTTATGCCATAACTAAAGTCAGTTAGATACAATAATAGACCAGAAATAGATAATGAAAAAGGAATATATTGCAACTTTCAGTCAAATTAATCTCACTGAAGTTATGAATATTTAAAGTTTTGACAAAAAATAGCTTAGATTGTGTCCGACTGAC